ATATTGGGCATCTTCAATTCCATCAAAAAAACACCAGTTCCAGGATCCACTTTCAGAAATAAAAAACAATGAAATATTATTTCCAGGCCAGCACATTTCAAGAAAACCAAGAACACCAATTTCAGAATATGAAGCAACCATGTAACTGCAAACAGTGGTCCTGCTAGCAATTCTTTTGCTGCATCACTTTGAAACGAAAAAATTCGGACCCAGGTAAGAAACTTACTCGAGTGAGCCGATTAATCAGACGGTTGCCGAACTGGGAGCGTGACTCACACGTTGCTGCATCGTTACGTAGCTCCAGCTCCAGTCCACGCAGTGCTCTCTTCAGAAGCATCAATGAATCAGAGCGCACTGCTGTTTGCAGCTGCAATAATTTACAAAAAGTAATCCGATTGTATGAATTTCTAAAATAGAAATGTCACACATTTTCAACTTTCTAATGCCAAGTGCTCTAACATAAGTTAGGAGTTCTCTACTTGCCTCAGCTGAGGCATCGTAAGGATAATACTATATAAAGTGAAAAAAGATAGCAATGCTTCTTTATTAGCGTGCGCATTTTCAAGGAATAAAGACAGACAGTAAAGAATTCCAGTCTCGAAAGGCTTTCAACATGTCACTGCTGCGACTATTGCTACAAGTGACCCAGGAGGAGAAGCATATTTGCCACAAATGGTCAAGGAAAAGAAACGGGAAAAGCATATTCGCTCTTGCACACAAATGTCTGGTAGTGTTGTGCGAAATATTAAATCCTGGTGGCTGCCCAACAGAGGAGCGGCTATCCAATTTTTTGTCATACAACATGTTTGCTAGTCAGAAATAACAGACCAACAGGATTGTACGCAGGCCATGTGTATGGTGGTGCAAATTGCCTTTGTCTTTTAGATGTAGTGGGGTGATATTTTTCGATGCAGTCTGTATTTCATCCCTTAGCTGTAAACAAAGAGCGGACTATGCATGCGGGTAGGAGTGGGAATCGTCAGTACAGCCTCCTACCCGGCATGTATTGAAAGGACACGTAGCTAATTTGCTAGAAGGATGAGTGAAAGCAAAGGATAAAGAGAGTAAGAAGGAGAGAAAATGTTTAATATCATGAAAGAAGTAGGAGAAAATCAGAAAGTGTATTTTAATATCAGAA